AATATTCTAAGATAATAATTAATAAATAATAAATAATAAAATAATAAACTAATAATTAATTCGTTCTATAACACTACTATCACAGTGCAAATCTATATTTTCAACCTTTTTTAGCTAATAAATTTCTGCTTTCTAGCAATTATAAGTACGTTGACGAACAATAGACTTATCAAAAATCAACAATAGCATGAACGTGATTCCAGTCATTAAATAAATGCCTAACTTTTAACACTGCATTATTAACAACTATATTATAGTCGTCAGTATCTGTATCATCATCTTCAAAATCCACTAAATGATTCTCTACATTATCATCATAATCAATTAGATGTTCCATTAACCTCGCTACTAAGTGGAGAGAAACAAGTTCATTAGTTAGTATAGCTTTGCAAAAGAATTGAACATGCAAGAAGATCAATATAATAGTTAAGGTAAAAAAACAGTATAGTTAAAGAAAAAAAAAATACAGTATAGAGATAAAGAGTTCCTATAGCTTGAATTTGAATATGAAATGCTAGAATGCAAGAAAGGTAGATCAATTAAGTCAATTCTTAATCAGTATGTTTATGACGCATAACACGTTGCAAAAAAATAGTATAGTTAAAGAAAAAAAATACAGTATAGAGATAAAAAGTTCCTATAGCTTGAATTCGAATGTGAAATGCTAGAATGCAAGAAAGGCAGGTCAATTGAGTCAATTCTTAATCAGTATGTTTATGATGCGTAACACATTGCTAGTAAAGTAACGATTACAGTTAGAGCTAAGTGAAGGTAAGAAAAAACAAGTAATTTAAAGATAAAGGTTGTGAGTTCGAATGTAGAATAGTGAAACATATAAAAAGAATATAAAGAAATTTAGATTATTAATAAACTATAATCTGTATGACGTGTCACTATTAATTGTGCATGTGACACCAGTGATGATCACCAGTGGTGATTTGTAGTAATTTTCAATATAAGTATATATACTGTATATATTATATTGCTAATAATACAATTAATAACAAAATTTCTATTTTTACTCAAACTTTGACGATGAATATCTTGATAACTATTGATCTAAATTGGCTCAAATTTTTACCATAGATAGTGGCGATATTCTTATATTATATATAAAATTTTCAACCAATTTGGTCTAATAGTTCTCAAGTAATCACTTGTATACGATAGTTATTTTTTAAAAAAAATTGACTATCGTATACAAGCGATTACTTGAGAACTACCAGACCAAATCAGTTGAAATTTTTATATATAATATAAGAATATTGCCACTATCTATGGTAAAAATTTGAGCCGATTTAGATCGATAGTTATTGAGATATCTATCATCAAAATTTGAGTAAAAATAGCAAAAACTTTATGATAATTAATTATTAAAAAAAATCATTATTTTTACTCAAACTTTGATGATGATATCTCGATAACTATTGATTTAAATTGGCTCAAATTTTTACCATAGATAGTAGCGATATTCTTATATTATATATATAAATTTCAACCAATTTGGTCTGGTAGTTCTCAAGTAATCACTTGTATACGATAGTTAATTTTTTTAAAAAAATTAACTATTGTATACAAGTGATTACTTGAGAACTACTAAACCAAATCGGTTGAAATCTATATATATAATATACGAATATCACCACTATCTATGGTAAAAATTTGAGCCAATTTAGATCAATATTTATTGAGATATTCAACATCAAAGTTTGAGTAAAAATAGCAATTTTTTTAATAATTAATTATCATAAAGTTTTTGCTATTTTTACTCAAACTTCGATGATGTATATATTGATAACTATTGATCTAAATTGGCTCAAATTTTTACTATAGATAGTGGCGATATTCTTATATTATGTATAAAAATTTTAACTATTTGGTCTGGTAGTTTTCAAGTAATTGCTTGTATATGATAATTAATTTTTTTAAAAAAATTGACTATTGTATACAAGCAATTACTTGAGAACTACTAGACCAAATTGGTTGAAATTTATATATATAATATATGAATATCACCTCTATCTATGGTAAAAATTTGAGCTGATTTAGATTAATAGTTATCGAGATATTCATCATCAAAGTTTGAGTAAAAATAACGAATTTTTTTATATATAATAGATATAAAATTTTGTTTTTTTAGCCAATCAAAATTCTAGATTTATTGTCAGGTGGGGTAGGGGGGTAACCTACTTAGTAAACCCTAATCACCTGATAAATGGTGCTCCTCTTACAGATATTAAACAGATATAACTATCATTCTAAAGATATTAGATAGATATAGTGATGATTATATTATTCATAATCGTATATTTTTATTTTTAGACAAAGTTTTAAAATATTATCTCTATTG